CTTGACTAGTAATTTGGATATTATATCTATAAAATAAGCATCTGTTGCCTATTTATGTCTCGTGGGAGATTAACCAGTGTTCATAAAGGAATATCCTCTGTGGCCTTGCCATAAAAAAGGTACAAGAATGTTATTTTTAAGAGACTCTGGCAACTCGAAAAGCACTTCTGAATGTCTTTCTTACTCGAAATCTACATAAGTGGCAGGAGAGGTTTCGCAGGCCTGACGAGAGAGGTCATTACTACTCCGTTTTGGAGCTGGTAAGCATGAATAATTTAAGGGTCATATCCGTAAAGGAACAAATGTCAAAAACAAATTGACAACTATTCTTCGAGCAAAGTCTGTTTTATTTTCCAAAGGTCAGTTTGGTAGCTCTCTTGAGTAAGTTCTGAAATCGTAACTTCCCATTTTTACATTTCACACACTCTCCAGGAAAGCACATTTTTGGTTAAGTGTTAGGGGCTTGCGTGCCCGTGGTAATTGACATTCAGCAAGCGCGCCGCGCCCAGGAGGAAGCGCAGAGAGCTGCCCATCTCTCCCTCCAGTCGAGAGAGGCACGGAGTGCGACGCTGTTCCTGCCGGCCGGCCGGCTCCGCTGGCACACGGGCTGTGTGCTTTAAGGTGGCATTTATGCACTTGAGGTGTTCTGTCTGAGCAGAAACTGTGGACATGACACAAACTTGTACTGAATAGAGACTCGAAGGCCAAATATGACACATGCATGGACACTAATGGAGGGAGACCTCATCTGAAATAGAGTTGGGAAGCCCAGAAGGGGGAGTGCCCATGCACAGACTTTGTTGCAGCTTGACACCACACTCCTGGGCAGGAAGAAGTTCACTTTACTGCCCCGGCAGAGGGAAGGAAGATTTTCTCCTGGACACACAATAGCCTAGCCAACCTCGAGAGAAACCGTTTCTCCCCAGAACCCTTGGTTTTGACTTTTAGACTCCCACAGACGGTCCTTCCGAGCAGCCTCTCTCAAATTCCTCCGTTTTCTCTACAAACTATGGTTCCTCTCCTTTGCTTTCCAAGCTTGCCTATTTTGCCATAGCTTGTGTGTCCCGAATTGCCATGCCTCTGCTATTCCTAAATACACTCATTTTGCTGGCAAAACAACTTGCTCTTTTGTTGTTAAGGTTAAAACATGCCGTTTACTTTTGTACGGCAGCATTTCCTAGGGCCATGCCTTAGTCAGGCCATCTTTCCCTGCTGTTCATCTGCAAATTATGCCTCTAGTTCTACAGATAATGTCCCGGCCTCTCGGCCTGTGATGGAGCTGTGGGAGTTCAGCACATCACTTCCCGGCTCTAGACCCTGGTGTCCTTGTGCGAAAGGTGGGCAACAACAGTAGCTACACCTCAGTAGGCTCTTACGTGGATTAAAAGGCACTTGCAGGTGTGGGTCCCAGGAAGACAAAATAAATCTTAGCTCCTGTTATTTTTATGCTAGACATCTGAAGCCGGGAGATGTCTCCTTCCTGTTGACCAGCTCTCACAACCACCTTCACGGGTTCCACAGAAAGGCAAGGATGTGGAGGAAGCCTGGGTCCTAATCCTAGCTGGGGCTCTGATGGGGCACTTGACCTTACACAAGGTCAAATCCAGGGCGGTGGACTGCATCAGTGTTTTTAGCTGATTCATCAGAGCCCATGGGCAGGGTTCTGAGGCCCTAACTGCCCCCTTAAGGCAGAGCAATTCTGGTTTTATGTTGGCATTTCATATGGAATTCATTTGAAAGAAAAGTTTTCACTGCCTATCAGTAAAGTTTAAAAGCCACTGCATGGGTGGCCTATAACTGTTTTCAGTTGCTTAAATGCATGGGCGTAGGTTCAGAACTTCCACTCTTGAATTTTTACAAATATACCTAATATACTAAAATATTGGAATGGGGTAAAACTGAAAGTATGAAAAAATGGATGATTCATTTCCCCCCCAAGGTTGGTATAAAAAATGACCAGTTGAAGGATATTTCTCTCCCTGTTTTCTCCCGTCTTCCCTCCTGTCTTCCTACTAACAAAAATTTAGAGAGTAGCTAATAACCTACTGCAAATGTGTAGGGTACTTGGGACCCAGAAGTAAGGAAACTGACAAAGCCTCTGCTTTTAAAAACTCACAGGCTATGTAGGAAAAAAGATATTATACAAGTAAACAAATCACGAATTACAAACTGTGAGAAGGGCATGAAGTAAATGTAACAAGGTGAAGGGAAATTGACCTACTTAGATAAGATTGTCTAGAAGGATCGTTGAGCAGGTGGGTGACAAGCCAACACCCAGGCCTGCCAGCTCAGCAATCCCTTGATCTTGTCTCTCAGTCAGCACCTCAGTCCCTTAGATCTGGTCTACATAGCAACGTCGCCCTTGAGCCCCTACTCCCGTGGGGAAAATGAGGCCACTTGTCATTTTAGACAGGTGTGGAGAGGATGGGCAGGCAGGTTCAGGGCTGATACAAAGGACCAGAGGTCTGCCTTTTTTTTTTTTTTTTTTTTTTTTTTTTTACCCCCTTTAAAGAACTTAGCTGGGGGCACCTGGGTGGCTCAGCCAGTTAAGGGTCTGACTCTGATTTCAGCTCAGGTCATGAACTCACAGTTCATGAGTTCAAGCCCTGCATCAGGCTGTGTGCTGACAGTCCGGAGTCTGCTTGGGATTCTCTCTCTCTGCCCCACCCCAGCTAAGGCTGTCTCTCTAAGAATAAATTAAAAAAAAAAAAAAAGAACTTAGCTACTTAGCCCTTGAGATTTTTTTTTTTTGTTCCCTGTAGATCAGGAACTTTGAATAGAAAAATGAAATTTCAATTCCTGATATATATATAATATATATTATAATATTATGTTATTATATATATTATATTATTATAATAATATATATATTATTTTTGAAGTACATAATCTAGGTACTTGGTTCAAAATTAAAAAAAAAAGTATAAAAACAGTGGTTGGGCTCTGGGGCCAGGCTGTTTGCACTCAAATCCCGGCTCTGCCAATGACTCATTGTGTGACCCTGAGCAAGGTATTCAAGAACTTTGTGCCTCAGTCTCTCAGCTGTAAAAAGCAACACACACAAAAACAGTACCTTCCTTGTGGTGTGGCTGTGACAGGTGGCTGTTACAACTTAGCACAGTGCAGATGGCCCTAAATTAATGCCATTAGGCATCAGAAGGCCAGGAAGAGCCCTGCACTGCCCACAGACATGTCTCACTTTTCCTTCCGATGTTAACCAACCGGATACTCGAAACCTTTATTTTTCTTTGACAAACAGTTTCTAGGAATGCTATCTTGGCATATTGATATGTTGTCTAAAACTAAGCCAATAACATGTAAAGACTGATCAAACAGAAAAGACTAATTTTGGATGCTATTAATTAGCTACAGACCATTGGAGCATATCAGAGAAGGGGAAAGGACAGCTGATAAAAACCTAGGCTGCCAGGCAGAAGCGGGGCCAGATCTGGTTAACATCGGCTGGAACAGTTCTACAACCCTCGGAATTTAATTTGTTAATTTGCCCCCGATGGCAGTTCTGTTTACCTTCAACATAACTGAGCTCCTGGCTGTCAAAACATCACTTTGCAATGGTGACTTTACGACCTCCTTTCAGCTACTTATCACTAATATATATCTTGGGTGGGTTTGCTCAAGGACCACGCTCTCTGTTCCTGTGGTTTATTTAGGACACTTAACATAACATATTATTTGTTCTCTCATGGCAAGGTCTCTTTCTGACAGCTGAGGTTCTAGTTTTCTGTCATAAGTAATTATAAATGTACACCTCTAAAAAGATTCCCAATTTGAGGGGCACAATCTATTTCAGACAGTAAATCACGGAGACATCTCCATCCCTTGGGCGGCCAAAATGTACAACTCAGATGTATGAGCTCTCACTCGGAATTCTCCCTACCTGAAGAAAAATGCGATGCTCCACTTTCTCCCTGGGGCCGTTAGGGGGAAAAAAACCCACAGCACTTTTGTTGGAGCAGTTTATATAGGCTTCGGTTCCTTTATTATTATTTTTTTAGATTCAGATGTAGCACTGACGTCTTCAAAATTCAACTCTGAAAACCGTCTCAGGGCGCCCCCCTCTGAGGTTATCTGCCATTCTAGTTATGCACTTTAGTCTCTCCTCTACCCCTTCCATCTCAAGCCCTCTGTTCCCACCAAAGATTCTTTTCCCTTCCTCCTCTATGCACTCCTGACAATCATGGTCTCTGCTCACAACCAAAAATGAATGATTCATTTCTAGGACTCTGACCAACAGAGGAAAACCAAGGCCAATTTTCACTCCTGCTTCCTTCCCATTCTTCCACTGTTACTTGTTATAACTCTGTACCAGCCTTACCTTTAAAGACAAGTAGCTCTGTATTAATGAAAACACACATCTAGTGATGTGGGAGCATCAGGCCTGCTTTATAATAATATGAACAGCTAGTATTAGTAGGTGCTCTTCTAAGGGCTTCGTGTACAGTACGTCTTAGTGAATCTTCATGAAAAACTTTCAGGTGGACACTATTATCAGTCTAATTTTACAAATGCGGTAACCAAGGGGCACCTGGGTGGCTCAGTCAGTTAATCATTGGACTTCGGCTCAGGCTGTGATCTCGCAGTTTGTGGGTTTGAGGCCCGCGTCAGGCTCTCGGCTGTCAGTGCAGAGCCTGCTGCAGATCCTCTGTCTCCCTCTCTCTCTGCCCCTCCCCTGCTTGCTCTCTGTCTCTCTCAAAAAATAAACTTAAAACAAACAAACAAACAAACAAACAAATGCGGTAACCAAAAGTCATTCAGATCACACAGGAGAAACTGACAGAGCTGGAACCCAGATGAAGGTCAATGTGATATGAAAGGACTTATCATCCTATAAAATGAAGGCACAGGCTGCCTCACTTTGGGGGTGCAAGCCTAGATGATTAGCATTTAATAAAAACAGTGGCATCTCAGAGTGAGTGATTTTCTCTACTTGTAGTTAACTATTTTAATTTTTTTATGCATGGCATTTTTCATATTCCCACCTTGAGCACTCAAGCTTCCAGAAGAATCCAGATGCTGTTCTGTTGGCTGTTGACTAGGAGGAACAATCGGTGGACTCAACATATTTAACCAGTCCCTAAAAAGAAAAGAAGAAAGTAAATAAACAACAGGTCTATAATTTCACATATAAATTTCATCTTTCCCCTGGAGTTTTAATTTCCTGGGGCTTCCACAATGAAACATTTTTTCCCCCTCTTTCATATTTCAGAAGGACAAAATGTCTAGAAGTTAATATTCAGTTCTGTTAACTGATTAAAATAATGTCAACCACTGAACTAACTAGTTGTTCTGCAAATATATCAACTAAAGACAACTATTCCTCTTTAGAGTTTATCATTGTGGCTATTACACTGTACACAATCCCTCTCCCACAAGAAAGTTACTTCAGTGGCTCAGAAGAAAGGCAGCAAAGACAAAGCTCCTTATGACCCTAAGAAAGCCTGGCAAAGTCACATGTCACCTCCATGACAGCATTCCAAAGCAGAAGGTGGTCTTGGAGTGGTCAGGAGCCAGCCACAATGGTGGGGTCTGCAGGCATTCACTAAGCAGCTTAGAGTAGCGGAGGGCAAAGGCAGGAAGAATGAGGGGAGCTGGGTCCCTGAGTGACCCATTCCTGCAGTTCTCCCAGTAAGAACTGGGGCAAAAACCACTCCATAAATCCCCTCCTACATTCCCTGTCTTTCTGTCTCCAACTGCCAACCTCATTTCCCACATTCTTTACTTCCCTTTGTCCATCCTTCTTTTCTAGTCTTCCCAGTCTCCCTAGGAGGTAACTGCCATGGGTGTGATGCATGCGGGTGACCTCCAGAGGGCGCAAGTCACCGCGTGTTCTACTTCAAGCCTCTGTCCTCTCTAAACTCCATACTGAGCTTCCTCAGGGGAAGGGAGCAGGAAGGGAATGTGAAGGATGTTCCAACGTGAGCTCTATTGCTTGCATTGATATTGTTTACCTTGCAACTATACTGTTTATCTTATTCTTCTCAACAGGAGCATTTCCTCATGACTATACAATGTCTTTCTAAATTTCTTTATTTCCTACTGTCTATATCTACAATGGGAGACAGTCCCACCAGTAACTAAGAGCCCTGGCTCTCCAGGCCAATCTCGGCTCCCTGTTTAATCACGTGAGAACATGGCCAAGCCACTTAAAATCATAAGCCTCTACTATAGAGAGGAGTAATAATAGTACCTTAGAGTTTTATGTTAGGATTAAAAGGGAAAAAAAAGATGAAAAAACTTTGGCATGGATCTGGGTATAGAGACACATTCAATAAATTTCAGCTATGACCACCATTGTCCTCATTATCAATGAAAATCATAGCACGGCTTTACCTACGATGATAAACCAAGGTAGGAGGAACTAAATTTTGTTGGAATTACACGAAAGATGGTAGAATGGTTACAAGTCTCTAGAGTAGAAGTTTTCCATGAAAACCATTCACTCCTCTAGTAAAACAAAGTATCTCCATGTAAAAATTACCCAATTCCTATTTGTAATATTTTAAGACACATTAGTCACTTCTCACCTTAACTATCACTAGATTATGGCTAGTGAAATAAGGTGAACATTATGTATAATTGAATTTCATAATAACACATTAAGGACATCGGAAAGGATTTGTCACAGCCTTCCAACCTAATGGGGAATTTTCTGATAAGCACCTTTTATTTAGTCCATTTCATTACATCAGACCAAAAACTCCTACATTATGGAAAATTACAAGGTCACATACAAATTACCAGCTCCAGTGACCTCATTACTCAGTAAGAGTTGGAGAGCGAGGATGAACAACAACAGAAGTAATAATGTTACCATGTGATGACACCCCCAGTGACAAATCAGAAAATACTCTGCACCGGCAGCGGTGGCTCCTACTCATGGCCCATGGACATGGGGGAATGTAGATGAGGGTTGTGTGACTATTAAAAAGGCAAGATATTCACTTCTTAGGCCAATGATTTGATTAATGTTTTTCCTTCTCACAAGTAGCTATGAAGGGGCGCCTGGGTGGCTTAGTTGGTTAAGCGTCCGACTTTCGCTTAGGTCATGATCTCACAGTTTGTGGGTTTGAGCCCCGCGTTGGGCTCTGTGCTGACTGTCAGCTAGGAGCCTGGAGCCTGTTTCAGAGTCTGTGTCTCCCTCTCTCTGACCCTCCCTTGCTCATGCTGTCTCTCTCTCTCCTAGAAATAAATAAAAAAAAAAAAAAAAAAAAAAAAAGAAGCAGCTATGAAAAGTACAGGGTTCTTCCTTTTGGGATTTTTTTGGTTGTTTTAAAATAATTTTAGATTTACAGCTTTTCTGTAAGAAATACAAAGAATACTTCTTCTTTGCAAGAAGAGTATAAAGAACTCCAATATCTCCTTCATCCAGATTCCCCAATTTAAACACTTTATCACATTTGCTGTCTATCTACCTATCTATCTACCTATCTACCTATCTATCTATCTATCTATCTATCTATCATCTACCATTTCTGTATCTAAACAGGGGTTGGCAAACTATGGCCCATGGGCAAAGTCTGGCTCACTGCCTGTTTTTGTACAAGGCTGTACAAAACAAGAATGGCCTTTACATTTTTAAGTGGTTGGAAAATTAAAACAGTATTGTTTCATGATATATGATCATTATATAAAACTCAGTGTCAGTGTCTATAAATAAAGTTTTATTGGAATAAAACCATGTTCACTTGTGTATATATTGTCTATGGCTGCTTTTGTGGTACAAAGACAGAGAGGTTAAGTATTTGTTATTTGGTCCTTTACAGAAAAAGTCTGATGATCCCTGGTCTATAACTATAGGCCCATTTCTCCAATAGTAATACAACACCACAGATTCATTCTCATCTCTCCTCTTGCCATATTTGTAACTCCTTTTGATGGTGAGGAACATGGCTCCCATGATCCTCAATAAATTTGCTTCTTTTTTAAACTATAGAACATACCAAAAGTAGTTTCAGAATTGCTAGGCAAACAAAACAAAACCCCAAACCTACTCTCCAGAGTTCTCTACTTCGGGTTCTTTTTATTCCTTAGTCAAAATACTATGTTCTAAATTTACCTGGATTAGTTCTTTTTCCCCTCCTTTTCAGTGTGGTTGTATTATTTGTTTGAAATATAGTTAGAGTCATCCGCTTCTGTTTGTATTACATTTTAGGCAGTTTTTTCTCCATTAACTGTTGATTTTTATTATTTTTGTTGTTGTTGAGTATGTAAAATGTTCATAGTTCAAAGCCAAAATATGCAAAAAGTTATTTTCAATTAAGAGTTACATTTTCCCCATGCCTCCTAGACTGTTTCCACCTCCTCATCACTTCTATGCCATCCTCACTCACCGCTGTACATGAAATCAATTTCATTAGTTCTAGTAACTCCTTTCTATGTTTCTTTTTGCAAAAAATAAGCAGCCGCACCTCTAATGCAACAGGTAGCATATTATTATGACTCTTGAACTTTCATTTTTGCAACTTAAAATATAACCTGGAAATCACTGACCACCCTCACAGAGAGCAGCACCTCATTCTTTTTCACAGCTTCATACTACTCCATGCATGGCTATGTCATCATGTATTTCACCACACTCTCTTATGTTTGGGCATGTTTTCAATATTTTGCAATTTGTGCCATTAACACTGCAATGAATAACCTTGAGCTACCTATTTCTGTATAGTTGGAGATAGACCTTCAAGGTAAATTCCTAGAAGTGGAATTCCTAGGACAAAAGGTAAATGCATATTTGGTTTTGTTAGATATTGACAAAATCCTTCCACAAGAGCTGCACCATTTGTGTTTCCACCAGCAATGCAGGACAGTGCTGGTTTTTCTACAGCCATGTCACAAGAGTATGTTGTCAAGTTTTTAATGCTTTCTAATCTGAGAGATAAAAACTGGTATCTTAAAGTAATTCTGATTTGCATTTGTTTTCAATATGAGCATTAGGAGTGGAGTTGACTGTCTTTCATTTGCATAAGGGCATGTATGTAATATGTAAATATATGCATGTATGCATTTTATATCTATATTTTTTGGTCTGTTCGTTTCTTTGCCCCTGCTTCTATCAAGTTTTTTGTCTTTTCCCCTCACTGTATCATGTGTCTTTGCTTACCTTGTTTTTAATTTTTTTTTGCCATGGAAAAGTTAGAAAATATCTTTCTGTAATCAAATGTATTATTATTTTCTTTTATCACCTCTGTACTTTGAGTTATAGTATATGATGTGAGTTTATTCTGGTATAAGGTGCATCTAGTTTTATCTTTAAAAAATGACTGCAGAATGCTCTTGATAAGTGATGTTATTTTAACTTAAGATTTAGAAGATTTTATACAATTAAGAAATTTTGATCAGAGCGACACATTTGTTTGGCTTCTTACTAAGTATGCATTTACAAAGTATATTTTGAAAAAAAAAAGAGTTCTATGTTAGCTATAAAATCAGGATGTTTTCTTGCAGGACTTTTGAGAGCTTTTAACACACTGAGTCTCCCCAGAGGAGGACAGAGTATACAGCACTGCTCACGTACACGGACCTGGAATGGTTACATCTCTCGGGATCATGAGTCCACAGACCAAACCTTGAGAAATGCCACCTCAGGTTATGCCATTTTCCAATCTGGTGCCATTGTTTTTGTTTGTTTTGTTTTTATTTTCCTTTGTATATAATTAACAATTTCATTTTCCAAAGAGCATTTTTGAGTGGCTTGTTAATAAGCATAAGTACGTAGTCTAGCACCTGTATCTTTTATGTTTATATTTTCATATGGGATATTTATTGCTAATCAACTTGACCCTTGATCAACTCCTTTAAACACGCCTTCCCCACAGGAAGCAGCAAACACCTAAGGAAGCAGGAGTCTGGCTGAGGCACACTCACAGCTGCCTGCCCCGGCAGGAGATCTGAAGGGCTCCCTGGCCAGCTCTTACCCTAGCCCAGCGACCACGCTCTGGAGTTTGTTCTTGCTCTTAGTTCGACCACGTTTGTACTCACCTTGTCTTTTGCACTTGATACTCTGCTTTCCTGAGCTCTGATTATAACCCTTTTCTCCCAAGGACGGGCTCTTGTTTTAAGAAAGCCTTTAACTCC